TGTTTGTCGGCTCAGCGCGGCAGCCATGTAAATTTAAATGAAGCGGCGATTATTTAAATCGCGGCTTCCTTTACCTTTGCCTACAACCCTAATCTACATGCCTCTGCCGACAGAGGCATGCCGAGCCGACAAACAGCCGATCAGCTGTTTGTCGGCTCAGCGCGGCAGCCATGTAAATTTAAATGAAGCGGCGATTATTTAAATCGCGGCTTCATTTACCTTTGCCTACAACCCTAATCTACATGCCTCTGCCGACAGAGGCATGTAGTCTAGACACAGCCTTAGTGTGCATGTGTCTGTGTATACACACATAAGGGACTCTAAGTGTATGTCCACACTGGAAACAGCGTGTTCTTCATTTGGGTTAAGTACCCCACAATAAATTAGCTCAGATTGAAATAGCAATGGAGGCAACACAACCTGGTTTATAATTTGGCTGAGTGGCTAAAGTTCAACTCCTGGTTATTTTTCATGCTTCCATCTTTTAAGCCAGAAGGGTAAAAATCCATCGGGATATTCTGTTTGTGTGGCAATAATAGCTGTAGTTAAAGCAAGAGGAACTAGAATAGCTAAAGACATTAACTTTTGATAAAGTTCCCAGTTTTGCAGACCCCCAAAAAACACTACATAGTTTTCCCTGTAGATTTTAAGGCCAGAAGGGAGCATTATGATTATTCTATCTGGGAAGGAGGTCATCTTTTTGTTATACATTAGCACTATGGGATCTCATTCTTAAATTCTGTGGCAATACACATGTACACACATACATTCAGCAGAGGCTATAGAATTTAGTAATTCTGGCATCTGTAACTTTTTGGGCTTCCACAAAGAAGCGGAAATTTAAGCTATTTTATTTTCTTAGCTCAGTAATATATAAGTTGGACCTTCCTGGTCCTGCACCCTCGGGACCTCGCTGGTCTCGGCTGAGTGATTTTGCTGGATCAGGAGAGGTCATATCTGGTTCCCCTGCTACCGGCTTCCCTCAGCTTTCGACCAGCCGTCAGGCTCCTGGCTGGCTCCCCCTGGCTGCCCGCGGAAATTTAAGCTATTTTATTTTCTTAGCTCAGTAATATATAAGTTGGACCTTCCTGGTCCTGCACCCTCGGGACCTCGCTGGTCTCGGCTGAGTGATTTTGCTGGATCAGGAGAGGTCATATCTGGTTCCCCTGCTACCGGCTTCCCTCAGCTTTCGACCAGCCGTCAGGCTCCTGGCTGGCTCCCCCTGGCTGCCCCGCCCGGCCCCCCACACCCTTC